GGCTCAGGCAATCCACTCACCTCAGCCTCCCAAAGGCGCGGGATTATGGGCTGAGCCACGGAGCCCGACCAATTTTCCTATTTTATACTGTTTTCTATTTTTGATATCAAGGTTCTACTTACCATGAAAAATTTGTTGGGGAGTGTTCCCTCTGTTTCTGTTCTCTAAGAGATTTTGTATAAGATTAAAATGATCTGTTCTTTGTATATGTAGTAGAACTCAACAATCAAATTGAAATCATTTTAGTCTGTTGTGTTTGCTTGGTAGGTAACTTTTTAATTACTGATTCAGTTTATTTAATTGATATTAGAAAATTCAAGATTCTAGTTCTTCAGTCAACTTTGGAAAGTTATATTTTTCTAAAAAAGTTTACATGTGTAAATTTTCACTTTTTAGCACAAAGTTATTTCTAATATGGTCTTACTATCTTTAAATCTCTAATGTATCTTAGTTACATCCCTATTTTCATTCCTAAAATTCTTTATTTGTATTCCTCATCTTTTCTTGATCAGTCTTACCAAATGTTTGCCTGTTTCTTTAATCTTTACAAAGAAACAACTATTCACTTTATTGGTTTATTTCATTATTTTCTGCTTCTATTCCTTCTTTCTTCAAGTTTATTCTGGTTTTCATTTCTTACCTTAAGTTGGATACTTAGTTCATTGATTTATGCCTTTATTTTTCTTAATATAAGCATTAAGGTCATGAGTAATTTAAGCACTATTTTAGTTTTCTATCATAAGCTATATTAGTAATATTTTCATTATCATTAATTTCTACATATTTTCTATTTTATGTTTTCATGACCCACAGGGTATTATTTTAGATTATATCTAATTTCCAAATGTATTTATATTTAAGCTTTTAAATTTTTTTGTTTGCGTCAGAGTCTCACTCTGTCGCCCAGGCTGGAGGGCAGTGGCAGAATCACCGCCACTGCAGCCTCAACCTGCTGGGCTAGGGGTGATCCTTTCACCTCAGCCTTCCACATGGCTGGAACTACAGGCATGCACCACCATGCCTGGCTATTTTTTGGATTTACTGTGGAGATGAGGTCTCACCAAGTTGCCCAGGTTAGTCTCAAATCCCTGGGTTCAGACAATCCTCTCGCCTTGGTCTCCCGAAGTGCTGGGATTACAGGTATAAGCCACTGTAAGTTTTTGAAAATTGACTTCTAAAAGAAAAAACTTCTAAGTTAATTGCTTGATGGATGACAGCCAGAGAACATGGCCAAATTGAGAATATCTTGACAATTGTTGAACTTTGAATACGGTCAACATACAGAAGTGTTCATTGTACACTTGAGAAGAAAACGTATTCTCTAATTGTCAGGCGTTCTATACACATACATTAAATATAAATTATGTTGTTCAAACCTTCTATAGTCTTACTAATTTTTTTTTTTTTTGCTATGTCATCTACTCATTATTGAGAGTTGTTAAATCGGTGACAAAGGATTTGTCAATTTTGCCTGTAATTCTGCCAATTTTGGTTTTATATAGTTTGAGTTCATATTATTAAATGCATACAGGTTTAGCATTATATCTCTTCCTGGTGAATTGAACATTTTGTTATTATCAAGTAATCATCTTTATCCCTCATAATGCTTTTTAACTTAAGGTCTATTTTGTCTGATTTTAGCTGATTTATTTCATTATTTTCTGCTTTTATTCCTTCTTCAAGTTTATTTTGGTTTTCATTTCTTACCTTAAGTTGGATACTTAGTTCATTGATTTATGCCTTTTTTTTTTACCAGCTTTCTTTTTTATTTATATATATATATATATATTTACATATATATATATATTTTTGTTTTGTTTTTGTTTTTTTTGAGTTGGAGTCTCACTCTGTCACCCAGACTGGAGTGCAGTGGCCTCGATCCGCTGGGCTCCGGCGATCCTTCCGCCTCAGCCTTCCGAGTAGCCGGAATTACAGGCATGCGCTACCACGCCCGGCTGATTTTTTGATTTATTGTAGAGATCAGGTCTCGCTGCCCAGGCGGGTCTCGAACCCGCGGGCTCAGGCAATCCACTCACCTCAGCCTCCCAAAGGCGAGGGATTATAGGCTGAGTCACCGAGTCCGGCAATACACAATTTTTTAATAAATAAATTCGTTTTTGGGGATTCCCCCTCATATGTATTTACTTATGTATTCATGTATGTATGTATGTATTTTCAGAGACAGGATCTTACTCCATCACCCAGGCTGAAGTTCAGTGGTGGGAGCATAGCTCACTGCTGCCTTGAAGTCCTGAGCTCCAGCAATCCTCCCGCATCAACCTCCCAGGTAGCTGGGATTAAATGAGCCTCTGCACCAGGCTGAATACAAGGACTTTTAAAAACACTTTTATTTTTGTTTTTTTAATGCGCATAGGCTCACTGATGATCAGAACAGAACGTGGTTTTAAAACATTTTAAAAACACTTTAACTATTGTCATCACCCCACCATTTTACTTTTTCAGGATTTTATTTCAATCTTATTTTACTACCATTCTTCAGTATTTCATTCCAGTACTATTTTATTACCAAAATTAGACCTTCTATTTGTTATTTTATAAAGACAAGGATCATTTAGGTATATCCATATTTATCATTTCTTGGCCCAAAATGCCTTTTTTCTTTTCTTTTCTTTTTGGAGAGATGGGGGTCTCAGTATGTTGGCCAGGCTGGTCTCAAACTCCTGGCCTCAAGCAATCCTCCTGCCTCAGCCTCCCAAAGTGCCTGACAGGCATGAGCCACCGCATCTGTCCTTAAAATGCCTTCTTGCAGCTTAGATATTTTTCTTCCCTCTTCCTGAAGTACATCCTTTAAGTTTTAAGTTCCATAAGTTGATAATCAGTTTTTCATGGTCTGAGAGTGTCTTTATTCAAAAATCAAGGCAAAATAAAAGTTTAGCTAATCATAGAATTTTAGGCTAACAGCTGATTTCTCTCAGCCCTTTGAAAATATTATACTAACGCCTTCAGGCTTCCACTGTTGCTGTTGAAAAGTGTATTCGCTTTCTATTATGGCCATAACAAAGTGCCACAACTTTTATGGCTTGAAAGAGCACACTTTTATCATTTCAGAGTTCTGTAGGTCAGAAATCAGGTATGAATCTCACCGGGTTAAAACCCGATTAGTTGGCAGGCTATATTCCTTTCTGAAGGCTCTTGAGTTCACTTCCTTGCTCATTCAGGTGTTGGCAGAATTCAATTCCATGCTGTTTAAGGATTCTGGACTATGTTTCCTTGCATTTGGGCCTCCTCTTTGCTCCTAGAAGCTTCTGTCTGGTCCTTGCACATAGCTTCCTACATCTCAGAACCAGCACAGGACATCAAATCCTTCCCATCTTTACCTAGCTAGGAACTGTTCTCTACATTCAGAGACTTTAGTGATTAGATTGGGCCCACCTGGATAATCTCAGCTAAGCTTCCCATCCGAAGGCAACCTTGATTACGTCGTCGCAGAGTCCCTTTTGCTGTGTAAAGTAACAGTCACAAATTCGGGGGATTAAGGTGCAGACATCTTTGCAGAGGGTAGGGAGCACACTATTCTGCATACCACAAGAAGTACAATGAGTCTAATTGTCACTCCTTTGCAGATGAGTAGGCTGTTCCCTCTGGCTGCTTTTAAGATCGCCTCTTTGGTGGTCTATGGTGTCAATATGTTTCTTGATATGTGTTCTTCTTTATCCTTGGAACATTGCCTCTTTTCCATTCCCTTTTAAAATTTCTATTAAACATAAGCTAGATCTTTCAAATCTGTCCTCTCTCAGCTCTGTACCACAGGCCTCATGCAAGCATGTGTAATCACCTTAGCTCCTACGTCCATGCCCCATCCCTGCAAATGGTCTGTTGGCCATTTTTGATGCAGACTGTGGCACAGTCTACCCTCAGGAAGAGAGACCCAAGGAAAGAACCTAACCAGGCCCTGGAAGTGGACTCAGAGCTGTTTAAACAGGAAATGTGGGGCGTCCCTGTATCTATCTAGTGGGTGGCTTAGGAGTGAGGAGTGCAGGCTCCAGATGGATCCATTCTCTTGGCCCTGTAGACTCCTCACCTTGTGAAGGTGGGCACAACTTAAGGAGGGCAGAATGGAACCTCTCAAGCAAGAGCTCTAAGGCAGGGGGGACCTCTTAAGCCAGGGCTCCAAAGCAGAGCCTTTCTTGCTCAGATCTAAGAGCAGAACCATACGAGATAATAAGCATGCTTCTTTCAAGAGGGGGAATGCCGGTTAAGGTAAATTAAGGAGAAGGAAGTGTTCAGTGCAAGAGGTTTAGGATGTGAGGTCAGAAGAGTGGAAACAGACAAAAGACGCATGTTCAGATTTTCTGGCTTCTACACTACAAGCAGAACTCTGCAGTCAACTCTGAGCACAGTCATTGTGGATTAAGCCTTTCTTCCACCTGCTCCCAATTTGCTACATCCCTTATGTTCTCAGCTTGAAATTCACTATCTTTAGGAGGCCTTTTCAACTCCTGATTAGTTGATTCCCCTCCCTCTAAACTTTTTTCGGAGTCTGTAGTTTTCTTTTTGTTATACCTAATCATACTTGCTAAGTTGTCCAAGTTGCCTTTTTGATTATTTGAGCTAAGGGTTTGTGAAGACATTTGTCTTGTCCAACATCATATTCCTAGCACCACAAAGTGACTGAAACACATCTGGTGATCAACAAATATTTGCTGAATTGATCATTTGGCTTCATGGTGCCTGAGTGGCATTGCTTGAGATGGTTGAATCCAAACAACCTTCTGATGTCCTTCCACTTCAAATTATTTCACTTTACACAATTTTTCAGAGTTTTACTCAGAAGAAGTTGATTTGTTTAGATATCCAAAGCACTTTATAAGATTCTGTGGAAAATCTAAAATTGTTCTGCTTTCCCAATATTTTACACTATCATTATTTTAGAATATAAAAGGTTTGAATTATATACTAGAAAAATCTCTTTATTACGTGTAAAACTTTTTTGCTGTTACTTATAATAAAGGAGATAAAAGAACAGCCGAAAGAAGGAATGGTCTTAAAAGTGTTTTAGTTGGTACCTATGCCCCCAACTCCAAGAAATAAAGATGAAGGCATTAAGATGCTAGTATGTGGTTGGTACCTTCAGTAACCCAGTCAGTCTATACAGATAACCCATCTGATATATTCAAACCATTTTTTGAGCCAGTGATGGTCGTTATTTGGTTAGTGCCCTCAAGTAAGGCCATGCCAGTTGTTAAGATGATATGAAGATTAATCAACAGGGCTGCCACTTGTGAAGTTTCCTCAAGGCTTCTGTGAAAAGGGTATCAATGGTCCTGATAAGTAATTCTGTGACCGAACATGATCTTGGGTGCAAGTCCACAAATATCTGGGAATAGCCTGCATGCCACTAAAAATTACGAAGGTTTCAGGTTTGGAGACATTGTCAACTACACTGTCATGACCATCTATGGCTCCAGGACTCAATGGTGGGGGGATAATACTTAAGTGATGACCCTGGCAGAAGGAGCCTATGAGTACTTCGGCCTCAAACACATAGATCATCTTATGTGTGGCAGAGGTTTTCTTGACCTTGTCTGCTAGGTTTTTGAGGCTCTTGGTGAAGTAAATGCCAACTCCATATTTTGGGTCTGATAAAAGAAAAAAATTAAGAAGATTATTATGATCTGGTGAATTATATTGCCAAATAGTCACTATAATTTGGTACTATATGTACCCTCTCTCTAGTCCTCCAAATAATCTCCTCCTTCTGGTCCTGAGTCCTTATGTCTGTAGCAAAGGCACTCAAAGTTATTCCCCTGAAGCAAATTATCACTTATATTATTAGCATAACAATAGCTTACATTCAAATAAACCATTAGTGTTTTAAAGTAGTCTATGGTTTTCAAAGTATTTACATTGATTAGATTCAATTAATCTGTGATTTAGATAGTATTTCCATTTAAAAGATGAAAGGTCTGAGATTCACAGAGATTACGATCCAAATAAATATTATCAACTAAGCAGCTGACAGAGCATCATGGAAGGAAGATTCTGTTTCTCTTAGACCATTGTCTGACTTCTACAGGCTACAAATAGGGATATCTCTAGGACTCTTGAGAATATGGCTTGAAAATCGCATCTAATAAGAGAAGGCAGAGTATCTCCCAACCTCAAGGACAGCATTACAAGAAAAGTTTGTCAAGATAAGGGAATGTTGAGCATATAAAATATCAGAATGCATGCTTCACTGTTGAGAAAGAGCAACCCTGCATTTGGGGGACATAGACATTCTCATCACGAGGATGGCATTCTGTACTGTGGGAGCAGGGCTAGGTCCTCAGTTCTCACCGTGGCCTGGCACAATATCCCACAAAAAATCTCCCCATGCCTTTGAACTAAGTCCATGCTCACCAGGTTGTTGTCCCCCCATCAGGCATTCTCAGAATTATATCCTATTGCAACCACTGGAAGTGAATATACTCCATTCTTGCATACTGTTTGTGATCTGTATTATCTTCTTTGGGGTATTGAGAACATTCAGGAGGCTGAGGGCCAAATTCTGGACCTCAGAGTAATCCCTGTTCAATGCCCTTTTGAACCTCACTTAGAGGGAAAAAAATTAAAACTTTGAAGCCATATTCTCCTTCTTTCCTTTTTTTTCTCTTTCCCTCCCTCTCTCATTCTTTACATTTATATGGGACATTACCAAACACTGTTTTAGGCTCTAGAGCAGCACTGAACACTAGACATGTACTATGAGCCACATATTTAATTTAAAATTTTCTAGAAACTACATTAAAAAGAAATAGGTGAAATTAATTTAATATTTTTATTTAACCCATTCAAAATGTTATCATTTCAACAAGGAATCAATATAAAAATGGATAGATGTTTTACATTCTTTTCGTTTGTCTTGAAATCCAGTGTGTTTTACACTTGCAGCACATCTCAATTCAGACTAGCCCCATTTCAAATGCTCCATAGCCACATGTGACTGGTGACTACCATATTGAACATATTGAACAGTACAGTTCTAGAGATTTAAAAAGGAGTAAGGCATAATTCTTATTCTCAAAATTTCACAGAAGGAACTCCCTGCAAGTAAACAGATAAACTATAGTACAATCTTTTTTTTTTGAGTCGGGGTCTCACTCTGTTGCCCAGGCTTGAGTTTAGTGGCCTGATCATGGCTCATTGCAGCTCCCATCTCCTGGTCTCAGGTGATCCTTCCACCTCAGCTTCCTTAGTAGCTGGAACTACAAGCATGGGCCACCACTAATTTTTTTTTTTTGGTAGTGATGAGGTGTTGCTACATTGCCCAGGCTGGTCTTGAACTCCTGGGCTCAAGCGATTCTGCTGGGATTACAGATGTGAGTCACCGCACCCAACCTATAGCATAATTTTATGCGGCAAGGTAATATTTTGATATAACAAATCAAAGATTTTCTTTCCCAAGAGTTTCTTCTTGCTTTTTGTTTTTCACATATTGAGTTATTGATACTTATTACCTCAAGGATAAAAAGGATAAAGTTTAGAACAAAGTCAATTGAATATATATAATATATATAAATATATACACACATATATTATTGTGTTTATATATGTGTGTATATTATAAAAGTGTATATTTATATTTATGATATATAATTACTTTTAATTCACAGAAGAAAATGTGGTCTTGAAATTCTGGCTTTCAGAGTTACACTTTCTGAAAGGAAGAGGGTTTTTTCAACTACAAGTTTAAAGCCTGAAGGATTAGCCAGGTGCGGTGGCTCACACCTATAATCCTAGCACTTTGGGAGGCCGAGATGAGAGAATTGACTGAACCCATGGGTTCGAGACCAGCTTGGGCAACTTGGTGAGACCTCATCTCTACAATAAATAAAAAAATTAGCCAGGTGTGGTGGCGTGTGACCGTAGTTCAAGCTACTTGGAAAGCTGAGGCGGAAGGATCACCTGAGCCCAGCAGGTCGAGGCTGTGGTGACTGGGAGCATGCCACTGCCCTCCAGCCTGGGCAACAGAGTAAGACTCCAACTTAAAAAAAAAAAAAAGCTCAGAAAAAAATAAATAAAGTCTGAAGGATTCAGAACATGGAGTTTTTATCATGCAACAGAAGAGGGACTATCACAAGATCTTCAAGAAAATTTTTCTCATTTCAAGACCAAGTTCTTTCTTCCAGCTGGTGGGAAGAGAAGAATCAAAAGTGACATGACGAGAGCTCTTGGTGAGTTGGAGGAAGGGCTCACTTCACTGCCCCACTCTCTAGAGAGAGACCTGGGAGTCAAGAGCGGCCAGAACAAGAGAAATCTCAAAACAACCGGAGGGGTTCACAAGAGCAGAAGGTACCAATGCCTGACTCTGCTGAGTACACTCCCTCATCCAACCTGATGACAGAGTGGAGGGTAGTGATGGTTGGGAAAGAATCCAGAACAGGTGAGGACAACTACACAAGATCCTGCATTCAGCTCAAAATTTCCTGCACAGCAGGAGGCGCACAGATACATTCTGGAAAGAAATTCCTTCTGCATGAAAAAGGCAGAGTGGCCTGGGCAGACACTACCTGAGTGCAAAGGGCACAGGTGGAGTTGATCTCACAGAGGGCAGTGGGAGGCAGAGGACAGATGGGGACCATGAACCAGACAACCATAACGCCTCTCCCACCATCTAGATCACTCTCAGAGAAAAGAGGAGAAAAAAGGCAAACTGTTGCAGAAACTCAATATCAACCCCAAAGGGACTAAAAAAACTCTGAAAATGACTGGGTTCACTTTTAACTGTCAAGATTCAAGTTCTTCACATCTGTGGACATGGAAGCATGAGAGCTGGGTGAAGTTCAGTGATAGAGTCATAAAGAAAACCAGTTTTACGCTTGAGTTTTGTAGGACTATAGATTTTAGTACTTATTAAAGTTATAGATGTTGTAACAAAGGAATGGAGGAAGTACAGGAGCACAGAAGAGGAAGCAACTCCTTAGGCCTACAGGAGTTAGGAAAGGTGCCAAACAGGAGATACCATTTGTGCTGTGTTTTGAAGCAGGATTAGGACTTTGTAGCACTGAAAGAGTGAGGAGGGAAGTCATTCCACAGTCAAAGATATAGAGGCATGAGAGTATATAGCTTGTTTAGGAAACTCTAAAAGGTTAATGGCTAGAAGACTGGAGGAACATAATGGGTGATAAGTCTGGTGAAAGAATGTGGCAGCCTTATATGCTCTGCGAAGAAGTTTGGGTTTCTATCTTTAGGCAACTGGGAATACAGATATTAAGCAAGGATATAATTTTTTTTTTTTTGAGTTGGAGTCTCACTCTGTCGCCCAGACTGGAATGCAGTGGCCGCTCCTGGCCACCACAGCCTCGACCTGCTGGG